ACACTATATCAACACTATTATTTTTTAGCACAGCTTTAATCTTCCTTCACCTCCTACTCCTACCGAAACCTCTGATGTTCCATGATAAAATCTTCATTAAACAATGCTTAAACTCCCAAGCCTCCTAATTATAATGCTCAAGGATGAGCACCCACCCGTTGAATTGCTACCCAATCTGCGTCCTTCTGTTCCAATTCCATACATCTCTGAATTGCTTCTCGCTCCATCCCATTACAATTAAGACCCAATACCCTTCCAACTCCAATAGTTTCTTGAGCCTCAGACACTAACTGTTTCTCTCTATCATTACCATGGCCACCAAACAAAGATGAAGATTCAATGCCGCCCGGAAGAGAACTCCTCTATGCCAACTCCCAACTAGCGTTGATCCTCGAATATTCAAGATTTTCAGGCCCCTAGCAAGCCTCCTAATCACATTCACCTCTGTCTTGCTCATCTTCTTCCTTCTTTTGGTTCTCCTTTCTGTATTATGCAAATTAGGGCTCACAAGACTGTCCCTTTTGCGTTCCACCCCAGCACCTGACTTCACAGCAACTCTGTCACGGGTTTGGGCTGAAGTGCTAATAGTATTATGGTTGTCCACTTCATTCCTTCCTTGTGGGCTTCTATATATTTGATACAAAGGCCCAGTGTATAATGGCTCACTCGTTTGGGCTATACCTAGTGAAACTTCCACATTAATTTGAGATCGATCCACCTCAAGTCCATTAACATTTGCAATGAACCCAGGTGTGATAATTTCATCCTCCACCTCCCTAATTGACCGTTGCACATTAACTCATGTGATTACGGCTATCGTGAGAACAACATTGCACGCCAACTTGTTGTTTGGACTTCCAAGATCACGACATGTTGTCTCAGCCACCACTGATGGAGTAGCTGAACCATCAACTCCATCCTCATCAGCACAGTCTCCACCGTCATGCCAGTCATTAACTGCCACCTCATTCGAATGCTCCACCTCATGGTCCACAAAGGCTTCCACCTCACTTGTCTTCTCAAAACTCTATTCTCCATTCACATTACCGTGAAGCTCTTGACCGATAGAGCTACCATTATCATCACGAATATGTAATAAACATTTGCAGACTTCCTTAATCAATTTTGAAACCACCACTTGCCTCTCGCAGACCTGTACAGGGTGCAATGACCCCTTACAACTCAAATTAACCACTTGGTTGATATGATGCATATGCTTTGTGACAATATGAATGTTGCCACTACCAAAGGACTTCATTCTTAGTGTTGCCTCATCAATCTGAATCACATCACCCCACACCTTACCAATATTTCTAAACATGTTATAGTCCCATACATTGAGCGGCACACCGTAACAAGTAATCCACACACTTCGCTCCTGGGCCAAATGAACACCTTTGCTCCATTCCATAATATAATCACACCACTCCTTAAGAGTATCATCAAGTTGGACAAGCATTTCCCTCATGATGGCCACCGACTTAAAATGTGCCTCCATTTCTTACCACTATATCATTCGCTCCTCTGAGATGAATCACACTCTCAAACTCTGCAAACATATAATGGCTTTTGATTTGGACAATGATACTTTCATATAGCCACCCAGTGCCTTTCTCATGTGCTACCACAATTTTTTCACCCACAGTCTTGGCTCGCACTACTTCTGCAAAAGACATCCTACCTCCATCATCAAATGATTGATGATTCTGCTCCCTGATACACGCTTTGGAGGGACCATTAGTAGTACCTTTCCCCACCTTTACACCAGCACCATCCTGACCTTCCGCTTGATCTTTCCCCGTACTCTGCCATATTTACTTTGATTTGTTTATCATCACACCATAACCTATCAACTTTTTGGATTGCTACCTTCGCCGCCACTGTACAATCAAATCTGACAAATCCAAATCTTGTCCTTGTAGATTTCCTAACCTTACTGGGGATGAAAACATCTTTAACCACTCCAAACTTTGAGAACAAGAGGAAGAGTCCCTTTGGGTTCATGGACATTGGCAGATTATCCACAAAAACTGTGACAATCTCTGCCCTAACTCTTGCAGAAACAATCCTTTGTGCTTGAAGACTTTTCCCATAAATGACTGGCTTCCAACCTCCTTGGTCAAGAGTCATTGCAGTACCTAATTTACAAACAATCTATAGAAATCAAATTTGGGATGCATTTTTATATGAGAATCTTTTTTATTCGGAAAACATTTCAAAAGGCGTACAAAAGTGACTTGAAATATAAGATCTTTCAAACATTCCAAAAGAATATGAATTTTTTCAAACATTTTAAAAAGAATACAAAAACCCCTTAGTAAACTTTCGAAAAATGTATAATTTTAAACGGTAACATTCCAATATTTTTTTTTTGATCGGCAAAAAAGAAAATTTATTGATGGAATAAATAAGTACAAGGTACAAGACAAATTACATCAATAAAGAAAAGGGGAATACAAAAGCATCACAATGAGCTAAATGATTCCAACTAGGTTGGCACCACAAAACTCATCCTATCATTTGCTACCACAAAGCTCATCCTATCGTTTCCAATAAAATAGTCAAACGTAACACTCCAATGTGCTTATCCAAAAAAAAAAAAAACACACTCCAATGTAACACTAAAAAAACATAAAAAAATCTTAGTGTACTTTTTTTTAAATGTAATACTTCAATATAACACTCAAAAAAAAAACTTTGTATTGTAATACTCCAATGTAACACCTAAAAAGAATTCTTAGTATATTTTTTCTAAATGTAACACTCTTAAGAAAGGATGTGGGATTTTTCAAACAATTCCAAAAGGAGTACAAAAATTTCTTAGTAAGTTTTAAGTAAATGTATAATTTGAAATTGTGAGTGCTATGTTTGGAAAAAGTATATTACAACTTTTTTTATAGTATTTTTGTGTGTCACATTGTAATGTTACGTTTAAAAAAAGTGCACTAATGAGTTTTTTTTGAAATGTTATGTTGTTACATTTGAAACAAATACACCAAGAAGTTTTTTAGTGTGTTACATTGAAATGTTATATTAGAGTGTTATTTTTTTATTCGTAATGTGAAAATTTTGTTCCAGAAGGAGGAAAAATCTAAAAACTCTATAGTGCGGATTATCTAAATGTGTAATTTTACATTTAGAGAAATCTATTTCCTAAAAAATTAAACCCAAGCATGTAAATGACTACTATTTTATGTAATTTTTACTTTAATAGAACTTTTGGATTTAAAATTAAAAAAATATATATATTATAAGATCATATTATAAAATTTATTGATGCTTCAGCCGCTTGCTAATGGATTGAGCGGTTAAAATTTTAAGGAAAATGCATGAGACCCCCAGTGGGGGTACTGGGGGTCTCTTCCTATTGGCCCAAAAACTGTTTTTTTTTTTTTTTTTTTTTTTTTTTTTTTTTTTTTTGAGTTTTCAGCCATTACCAGACCCCCACGTGGAGGTGGGGTGCTGGGGGTCTCCCCTGCTGGGGGTCTCCAGCAGGGCCCAAATTTTAAAAGCTTTTATTTTGTTTTTAAACTGATGGCCCAGTCAGATGCTGCCACCTACATGGTATAATACCTTCCCTGCAACCAAAACAGCAGGAAAACCTTGTCCATAAAAAAATTGCATAATAAAATGAAATTTCCCAAAAATTTCTATACCCCCTTGTAATTGTAATGTTCCCCCAAACTAATCAAAAAGTTGAAAAAAGTTATTTAAAAGGAGTCACTTTTTCTTTAATTTTTTTACACATTTTTACATAGAAAATTAAAAATATTAAAAAAGTCAATTTCCAAAATAGACTTAGATATGCATAGGGGTGAGTATGGTCCGGATTGGATTGAATTGGGGTAAAAACAGGACCAATCCGTTATTTACGGTTCCTGAAAATTGGAACCAATCCAATCCATATTTAAATATGGATTGGATCGGTTTAGGATCACGGATTCACATAATTAAATAACAAATATATATATAGCACTTTAATTTCATAAAAATATAAACATAGCGCTATATTAGTTCCACAATAGTAACATGTCTTTCTATAATAGCGACATATTGTCCTAGAATTTAAACAACCATAAGAAAATTGGTTTTACTATAAGTATTTAGACCATTACAAATTAAAATTAAAAACTAACAAACAAAAATAATAAAAGAAGATATTATGCAGGTTTAGGTTTGAATTTATGTTTTATATGAAATAAGAGAAGATACTATGGGGGATGATGTATAATAAAAATATAGATTATTTGTATACGGTCCGGATTGGTTCCAATCCGAAACCGTGGGGTTTAATCCGGAACCAATCTGTGGACTACGGATTTTTAATTTTTCAATCCGGAACCGAACCACGGATTCAAAAAACCAATCCAAACCTATCGGATTGGACTGGACTGGATCGGATTACGGATTTCACGGATTCCTTACTCAGCCCTAGATATGCATGCCAAAAAAAATTTTAAAATGCCACTTTGTGTAAGATTTACCTTAAAAAATGTTTGGGTTTGTTTGGGAAATGAATTTTTTTACTTAAAATGTGAAGTAAATTAAAAATTAAAATATTTGAAAATAAATTTTTGACTTTTTATACAAAAGATAAAAATAAAAAAATAACGCACAAAAAAAATAAAAAGAATGAATTTTTTTTTAACTTTCTTTTATGATTTTTTAAATTTTTTTATATAACTTTCCATCAAAATTTAAAATTTTAATCTGATCTCTTATTAAAAATGTCATCGATAATCATAGATAAATTTATTTATAAATTCCATTAATAAAAAAAATACAATCAATTTTTAAAAAAAAAATATTCTAGAAATACAATCTATATATATATATTTTTAATAAGTAATATGATTTCACACAAAACAAGAAAATGATATTAAAATTACTAACTAAATTTTTATTTCATTAAATTTTCTTATACTTTTGTTTTTAAGGAAATAGCATTTGATCCATGAAGATACCCCAACCCAACCCAACCCAATCTATATAGTGTACAACATTTAGCTAGCCATACACACAAAAGCACAAGTAACCAATAAAATGTCCAGTGTCATGCAATTCCTAGAGCAAAAATTCACCTTATTCCAACCATTATCCTTCTCACTCCTCCTCTTTCTTTCCCTCCCTTTCCTTCTCAAATGGCTCCTCTCCACCACCACCACCACCAAAAAAAACCTTCCGCCATCACCACTAAAGCTCCCCATCATCGGAAACCTCCATCAACTCGGCCTCTACCCCCACCGCTCCCTCCTCTCCCTCTCCAAACTCCACGGCCCCGTCATGCACCTCCACCTCGGTTCCTCCCCGGCCGTCGTTGTCTCCTCTGCCGCCGCTGCCAAAGAAATCATGAAAACCCATGACCTAATTTTCTCAAACCGCCCCGAATTCCGAATCAACCGAAAGCTCCTCTACGACCTGAAAGACGTCTCGGTCGCCCCCTACGGCGAGTACTGGAGGCAATTAAAAAGTATCTTCGTCCTCCAACTCCTCAGCACCAAAAGGGTTCAGTCCTTTCGCCCCGCTCGCGAAGCAGAAACAATAAACATGTTAGATTTCATCGAAAAATCGTGCATTTCATCACCATCATCGCCACCGTTGAATCTGAGCGAGATGTTTTCGTGGCTGACGAGCGACGTCGTGTGCATGGCGGCGTTTGGGAAGAAGTATAGGGTTGGGGAGAGAGGAGAGAAGTTTCAGAAGCTTTTGAGGGAGTTTGTGGGGCTTGTGGGTGGTTTTGATGTGGGTGATTTTATTCCTTGGCTTGGATGGGTGAGTCGACTCAGTGGGAAAGATGGTGAAGTGGATAGAGTTGCTAAAGAGCTTGATGAGTTCTTGGACTCAGTGGTTCAAGAGCATGAAGATAGAATGGTGGAATGTGGAGGAGAGAGTGATGAAAGTAAAGAGGACTTTGTTGATACAATGCTTAAGATTCAAAGGGATAATAAGTCTTCTGTTACTATTGATAGAGATAGTATCAAAGCTTTGCTTTTGGTAAGTTTGATTACCATCCTAACTTTGAAAAGAGTCGTTTTAGTCTTTTGTTTGGGGAAAAATATTTTTCGATGTTTGTTGTGATTTTTTTTTTAAAATATTTTTCTGTAAAAATTATATTATATTTTTATAATTAATAAAAATAAATAAATAGTGAGGTGATGGTGATGGCAATGGAATGAGAAAATTATTAGATACTTTAAAGTAAGATGCGACCGTATTTACATAGTATTCTTAATCGATGAAAAATTATCCCACTAAATGTCTCGCTTTTAAAAATCTCCAGTACATAATTAGTTTGGAGGGGTTTGCGGTGGTCATAGAATGGTGGAGGTTGGTGGTAAGAGTAGTGTGGTAGTAAAATATTTTTTATGTTCAAACAAATTTAGTTTCTGTTCATCATGAAATATATTTTTTGTTAATTTTTTTTATTATGTCAAACACTAAAAATTAAAAAATATTTATATCTTTTTAGAGATTAAATAGTTTTGAATTAAATATTTTAAGAATTTAATAAATTCAATTGATAGTTTATGAATTAAATAGACTTTAATTTATATATTTTGGGAGCTTGCTGTTAGTTTAGCGACTGAGTAAATAATTATAAAGTGTAATAAATTGTATGGTTGTTAATCAATAAACAACTTTAAATTAGGTCAACTTGCACACAAAGCCACGCTGTTTTTTGTTCTTAATGATTTGTTTTTATTTATTTCTTTATTTATTTTATAGATGTGGATTGGTTGTACTGAAATAGATATTATTTATTTATTTATTTATTTTGTATACCTAATAATTTTGTCCAACTTTCCTTTCTTTAACATGGATGAATAGTTTTATACAAATAGAAAAATTATGTTTAAATATATTCTTCATTTTTATGATAACACAAATTTTAAAAATGAAAATTTTCAAAAAAAAAAAGTTATAATTTTTATTCAAAAACAATTTTCTTTATAATTTTTTTTTTAAATGAAAGCATAAAACAAAAATAAAAAGTGGACTTTTTTTTTATAGAGGAAATTACAATTCAGTCAATCTTTTTTTTAAAAAAATTTAATTTGTGATAAACCTTACAATCATTAATAATTAAAGTCATAATTTTTTTTTATTAATTTGTGAATATTTTGTGAAATAATCATTAATGTGTAATTCCCCCCCCCCCCAAAATTC